AATCAAGTGAGACTATATACCGCTAAAAGATTGTGTTCTAAACTGGCCCGTTTTACAGCGGATAAACTTTTTACAGAGACTGTCGCGCGACAACCACCTTAAGAAACATTTACATATGATATAATTTGAAAATCTGAGTCAATAATTGATTTTATTTTGTGATTACTTCTATATCTACAACGTATTCATTAGCAAATCCATCAAATTTTCATGCAATTATGCAAATCACGTAAAAGGAAAGTGCCATTTTAGATTACAAATATTAATTAAGACAAACACATAATAAATAAGTAAAGGTACGAGAAATTAGAATAATTCGTCAACAAGTTCAACGTAATACATTTTCTTTACTTCCAATAATAACAATCTAAGCAACAAAATCAGTTATCTCCTGCAATCCATTCAATCGTCAATACATGAACACCAATATCGTGTCTCCATTACAATAAATGAATCTGAGTGATTACCTCAATAAATAAACATGTAAATGACAGAAAGTAAAATGATTTCTCGGTGAACGCTCGTCTCTTCATCTCTAAAAAATCTCGAGGCAATTAAATATCGACAGACATCTCGAAAAAAAAACGCTATTTCAATGATCACGATTGTTCTACGATTATTATTTTTTGTTTTTGGAAAGAAAATGGACACATATTAACGGAGACTACTGATGATGGCTTGGGTGAATTCACTCGTAGAACTCTGGCCCCCCAGATCTTTAGTGAGGATTTTTCCATCGTTTAGTACACGATTCAGTGCCTCTCGAATTTGAGTCGCATAACGCTTCATGTTTATGTGATTTAGGAGTTTTACACCACAGAGAATCATTGCTGTTGGATTCGCCACGTTTTTTCCTACAGCTTCTGAATATGTGTGCCTCGCACCCTAGAAGGTTGTGAAAGAGAAAAGCGCAATATTAGTTCACAGATTGAATAAATCAACGCCATTTCACCCCCAAAGCCTATTTTTAGCCAATATCTTGGAATTGAAGGAACATAGCGAATTTTTAGCAGAAATATTTTTTGTAGAGCAAGATGAGAGCTACAAAAAAGGTATCCATGAAAATATAATTATTTATTTACAGTTTTGAGATATTAGCGAAATACTGGATTCGAAATAAATGCAGTTATCCTAGCTTACTATTTGGCAACAGAAATAAAACAAGCACTCGATAATAAATAGGTAAAGGTACAAAAAAGTGAAAGTCGTTTGAATTTTTTGATTGAATTCTACAGAAAAATTTTCGTCCACCAATTTTTCTGAAAAAATGAGACATTTTTATAGACTACGTCACCTAGTTTCCAACAAAAATTGAGGGACTGTGTAAAATTCTCCGAATTAAGCGAGTGAAATATTGTGGGTTTATTTGGAGGATACAGTTTTATTAGATTATTGCTTACTGGTTCAAATACAACGCATTCAGCGCTGTAACTGGCTCCAGCTACGACTCCAGCACCACCGACTAGACCAGAGGCAATATTGTCAACAATATTTCCATATAAATTGGGAGTTACCATGACGTCGAACTGGTGAGGATTGGATACTATCTGCATGGTGCAATTGTCGACGATCATTGTTTCAAAATCAATCCTGAAATTATTGTATAATTATGCTCTCAGTTCAGCAGTTGGTACCACTAATTCTTTCATTCCCATTGATATTTCATAAATATATAATAGATAATGAGATCATGAGAAACATTTTTTATTAAAGTTAAGTGGCCACAGGTGGCACAGCTGAGACATTCACTGAGAAAAAAAATATTCTGGCCAAGGATCCATTTACTTGAGAGAAATATGCGTTTTTTCAAAAGGCTATTTCTCCATTAAGTTATTTACAAGCTATTACTATTATTAGGTTTCGATAATAATCAACATATTACTTTAGAAGATGATAATGTAGGATATGTCCTTGGATAAACTCAATTTATTATTATTGATTTTTGTAAATTGTAAAATGTAAATTCGAAAATTTTAAATATTCGAATTTTACCAGTAGAATTGAAGTTGACGGAGTGCTACACTACTGATAAGTATTAATCAATTTTATTCAACCTCATGATCAACGTAATCATCCTCTAGAGCGATATGATTGTCATTATCAACACTTAATCACGAAAGCACCAGGAAAATAAAATCTTCATAAAAACACATGCTTCTCGCAACTCAATGAGTTAAGGATTCATTGAGTTGACCTGTGGCCACTTAACTTTAATAAAAAAATGTTTCTTATGATCTCATTATCTATTATATATTTATGAAATATCAATTGTATTGAAAGAATTAGTGGTACCAACTGCTGCAAATATTTTCGCGCTCAGTGTTGAGCATAAAAATCAAAATGATTCAACTAAAAAAATAAAAATTTTACCTAGGATAAAGTTTAGCTATTTCTTGGCAGGATTTCAGGAAAAGACCATCTCCTAATTTCATAATATTAGCTTTATGCACACAGGTAACCTTTTTCCGGTTATTCCTGACGGCATAGTCAAACGCAAATTTGGCGATTCGTTGTGACTTGGTGGCAGTGACAATTTTCAAACACTCGACAACACCATGAACAGATTCGTGCTCGAGTGCTGAATATTCGCCTTCTGTCTGCTCTCGAATTATGACACAATCGACGTTTGAGTGGCGTGACTTTACCCCAGGCAATGATTTAACGTGAACGACATTCGAGTACAAATCCAGACTTTTTCGGAGCTTCATGTTCAGAGTTTCAAGCTCACCAGTGTGGGAGTGATCAGGAGTTGCTAAAATCCCCTGAAACCAGAAGAAAACAATGACATTCAGAAATACCCAAAATAGAAAATGAATGCATTCAATATCTGGTCAGTTATCAGTTGATATCTCGTAAATAAAGAAAGAGAGAAATTTCCATAAACCCCTTTTTTGTAGAGCGAGAGATGAAGGTGGAGAAATATATACTGGAGGGATATACTGAAACTTCGCTATCTCTTCTTATTTGGGAGATATTAATTGAGATATTAATGAGGCGTGGGAAGAATTAACTTATTCTAGCTTACATTAGGTGCTTTATTCATTGTGTCAATGAATTATTTTACCTTCAGACAAACACGATTTCTCGCAATACTATTAGAAACCTGTTCCAGGGGTGCACTCAACGTTGGATTAACTTCTGAAAGAAAATAGGGTTCGAATTCCACAGGAACATTGGCAGCTTTGAATACTTGTTGAACGGAGACCACAAGCTCTGGTCCTACACCGTCTCCAGGGATAAGAGTGCATTTTGTCTTGCCTTCTTGTTCTACAACCTGCAATTAACTCCAGAATTGAGTAAAAAAAGTAATCGATAACTGTAAGAATACAAAATAAATGAAGGTAAATTGGAATTTGGAATCTTACGGTTTCCTGTAGATGAAGTACTGCCGAGCAACTTAAATTCCTAATTGCACTTTTCTGGGTTGTCTGT